TTAAAAGTTCGAAGAGAAATTTGAGGCCTCTTTTAGTTTAGAGTTCTGCACAAACATAAACTCCTGCTATTACATAAAAGTGAGACCTCAGAAGCCTCAGTCTCGTCTGTCTCCAAGCAATATTAAGGGCTGAAAGCAACACACACCCCCTTTCTCTTTTTTTTTTTAATTGTCTTTTGAGGAATAATCTACTTTCTTGTCCTCAGTCCTATCCCACTTCCCTTGGCTTCCAGCTTCCCATGCAGGTGGAAAGTCCATCTCCTCCAATCTTCTCAGAGAAGTTCAAAGTTCTCACCTGAGCTCGCAGACAGCCAGAGCCATCCTTCCTTCATAGGTGGGTTAATCTGGACAAACACTTCTGGAAAGTTCTGGTAAAGCCTTTCCCTAGAAATCCAGACTACCAGGTGGAGAACCACCTTGTTAGGACCTTCTGGATTACAAGTCTTTTTTGGGACTTCACCTTGAGCAAGGTATTCACTGGTATTTGTTTTGGAGCTACATGTACTGACATCCACATAATAAGTAAATGCTGTTTATACAGCTATGAATAAACCTTCCCAGAGGGGTCCTGATTTTTTTTTTAATGCTTTTGTTTGGGTGGGGTTTGTTTTGTTTTGGTTTTTTTTAATTCATCCACCCCTTATTTACCTTTCCTAAAAGAACAAAAACAAAGGTAAGGAAAAAAACCGTGCTTCTGCAAGCCTCATTTGAAGTTCGATTTTAGAGCAATAATTCCTGTTTCAGATATGTAATTTAGGACAATCTTTGGCTATTACAAAGAGAAAATACATTCTTTTATCTTTGTATTTACTTTTTGTTTAAGGTTAGGCTTTTTCAGCCTTTGATCTGTAACAAAAATAAGGGCTACCCAGTAGGAGCATTTCTTATTGTTACTCTGAAAAGACTTTTGATTGATTCATCCTTCTTCTGACTCATGTTATTAACACAATAGAAGCTGGGTTTGAAAAACAGAAAAAGTAATCATTTTGTTTAAGAGATACACTTTAACTTTCTGCAAAATACTTAATCCATTTTACTACTCTGTTCAACAAAATAAATTTAAAAAAATCTTAGAACTTTTTTGTGAAGGCAGCAGATAATTAGCAAAAATCTACTGATACTGGTTTTGCTCTCAGCATATGAAAGTAAATTATAATCTCTTGGCTGGATAGTGCAGTTCAAGACTATCCGTAAATATCAAAGAAATTATAGTCTGAGCTGACCTAAGTCATTTTCCCATGTTTTATTTTACAATTAAGAAAGAGATAAAAATGTAGACTTAAGATTTTCTTTGGAGAATTACTGAGAACTAGCCTAAGACTGAGAATCATCTGCCCTTATTAATACCCAGACAACTATTTCCATTTAGCAGGTAAAAAGATATTCAAAATAAAATAAAATAATTTAACAGATTTCAAAAGGTCATTTTATCCTGTATTGTAGAAACTGTTTATGGTGTTCTACAGTTCAGAACAGGCAATTTCACTCTCCAGACCCAAATAGTTGAGAGTATTTGTTCATGCTTTTAGCTCCATCTTCAAGGTAATCAGATATAAAAGGAAGTCAAGATTTAAATACTCAAAACAGAGACATGATTTTCTCAAATTCTGAGTGTTAGGGCAGACAAAAGAAAAAAAAAAGATCAACAAAACATATTCACGTTCCATTACCATTATCAGTAAGGACAGGAAGTACAGAACTCTCCAGATCTCACTGTTACCAAGACATAAAAGCAGAGATCAACATTCTCTGGCTTGCAGACAGGGGTATAAACTAGTCCAGTGGCAAACAAATGTCCAGTGCCCAAGTAAAACTATCTCAGACTTTCTCCTGCCTCTTCCTTATACTTTCAAAACTCTTTCTTGGAAGCTCATGGAGGCCCCACGAACATACAGACTGACACACTCATTCCCAAGAGCTGATATTACGATGGGTGCAGTACATGAATCTTAAATTCATCCACCTACCAAAATTTTCCTGATGGTCAGAATGAAAAGTACCTCTGCAGAACACAAATCAGCCTGTCCTTGTGTATTCTCTGTGGTTTGAGAAGGACTGTAACTCTCTGTTTTCCAGTACTGCTCCATTTTTACTTACTGCCACATTCTATCTATCTAGAAGGCGAGGCAGGAAAGGTAACCTAAAATTATATTTAAAATTAACAAATAAGAGGTGACTCTAAGGAAGAAACCACATATTATAAAAGTAATGTTGAACGGCATGGTGAAAACATACATTTTTATTTTATATCATACAAACTAGGACAACTCTTAGTCAAGTAGAAGAAACATTTTTTGGTGTTTTAAAAGAATTTATCTGACTAACAGTGGAAACCCCCCAAGTTAATGTACACCCTACTGCTCTTCCTCTCTTAAATGCTGGATAATCCTGAACCACTTCCTGATACCAGAAGCTGCTCAGGTTATATGACTGTGAAATAACTAATGACTGGCTTAAAAATTACTCTGAACCACCTTCAGAACTTTTTTAAGAGATAGTAAAGCCATGCAAGTAAAAACTATTTAAATTCTTGACAAGGCAGAATTCAAAGCAGAGGTGAGGACAGTTCATTTTCTGGCAAGCCCAGGTGTACATTTCCTCTATGACCTATTAGTTAATCTAGATTCTCCAATTACTTAAAGGTACTTCAACCTGAAATGGTGTAAAGGGTTCTAACATTTCCCATTCAGACTATTACTTTCATTATTACAGCTGCTCTAATATATAACTCTTGTTTTGCTCTGTTTGCCATATAGAAAGTGTTTACCATAAACTCCAAAGAGGAAGTCTTTCCACATACCTCCTTTTAAAATACTTTAGCTTTTAGTGCAATGGAAGTCTGACAAAACCAACTGGTTAAAAAAAAAAAAAGACATTAAGGAATTCTCTGCTGTGCAAATTGCTGGCTATCTCTAATAAATAATAACGTCACAGATTTCCACCAAAGAACGAGCCATTTACACACGACTGATGCTTTTGCAGAAGTCTGCAAACAGCAGATGAAACCATGTCTGGTTTTCTATTTGGATGCTGCTGTCCAAATACAGATTCCTGAACTGTTGTGTCAGGATTTCACCCCATCAGGCCTCACAAGCACATAGACACACATCCTGCCTTGCAAACTCAATACTGGTGAGCTCAGAAGGAAGCCTCACTTAACCTTTACTGGTTCAGAATACCAAAATAAAAAAAAAGAGAATGGGAAATAAGCATGCCACACTTGCCCCCATCCTCAAGAATAGCATCAGGTACCATTTTAATCTACATACAAAAAAAAAAAAATAAAAGAGAAAGACTCAGGTTTGTAATTCCTTTCCTTGTTTCAAGAAAACATAAAAAAAAAGGGAAAGTGTCACTTGGTGACACCTTGCTACATCTGATGTTCTAGCAAAACAAGGGTTTACATAACTTTCCAGCATGCACAACTTCATTAAGGGTTGCCTGCATAGGATTTTCAAGGGCAGCCTTTAGCAGCAGGTTGGTTGTGCCTCAATTGAATTTCTTTTCCACCCACCCCAGAAACTTCTTATGCTGTACTCTGAGGAATATTATTGCCTCCTAAACACAACCCAGCTACAACATCAATAGGATTTTTTAAACTCCGGTAGTATTTTATACTATCACAGTCAAGGAGCTAAAGACACTTTACCGGAACCCATTTGCCAAGTCACATGGGTCACCCACACAGAGGCTCATATGTCACAGAAAGGTTGAGTTACAGAAAAGTAGAGAGAACCTTGGACAGAGAATTAAAATGGAGACAACAGTTGGAGACCAGAGATTTCTGGAACAAGTATTACTGTGTGCTCTTCTGCTACACAGAAATAGAAGGGGGAAGTACAATTTCAGGATCATTCTGTTAGGAAAGAAGGGATACTTGTCCTGTAGATCATGACAACCTTTCAAGCCTGGGGCTCCACATACACAGATTTTTCCACAATGCTCAGATTACAAATATACATCACCCTTCACCGTGTACTAATTTTCAAGAGTCTTGGTTACACTATAACGGGGTGGTGACACCGGGGTGTGACATTGGCTTGCTGCAGGCCTGGTCTCACGTGCATCGTTTATCAGAGTACACCATCTCTCCTGTCTCCTCAAGTGAGTTACACCATCGTTTGTTAAGCACGTACCAAGATAACCAATGTCACAACACACACCGTGTTCTGGCAGTGAGGTTCTTAGAGAGCTTCCTAGGGACACACGCCCTCAAGGAACAAAGACCTCCGGATGGTGAAGGCCCCAAATTAGCCCTTTAGGATACAGACCCTTCACAGGAGCCAACAGTGCGATCTGCAAAGGCTCACCCAGTGTTTTCCCACCACCAGCCAGGTCCAAGCAAGCACCTCCGAAGCCAGCACATGACAGCCATGAAGGCCGAGATCCAATTACACCCTCCAGCCCTGGGCCAGTTCCTCTGGCACAGCCAAGTCCTTACACTCCACTACAGCCTCCCAAGACCCTCGGAAACCCAGGAGTGCCGTCCCACCCCGCCTCCGAGGAGTAACGGGGCTGAGCTCTGTGCCAGCACAAGGACACCGGTGCCCCCAGACCCCGGCCCGGGACACCGTGGCCACCGTCCCTGAAGGGGCAGGAGCCCGGGCTGGATGCGCCTGCGGTCCCGCCTCTGCCCCACCGTGAGCCGAGCAAAGCCACCAGCACCACCGCCTCCCCTGCTAATCCCGCTCGCCGTGCCACGGCACGGAGCAGCAGCTGCGTTAACGGGAGCGCGGCCGCAGCGGCCGCGGGGTGTGCGGAGCCCCGGGACGGTCCCCGCCGCCCGCTCCGCCCGGCACCGCGGCGGGCGGGGAGGGCACCGCTCCGCCGTGCCCTGACCTTACCCCGACTTGGCAGGGGCCGCCCGGGCGCCGGAGCGCGGCGGGCAGCGCTGCCATCACACCGCCCGCCCGGCTCCGCGCAGGGGAACAGCGGCAGCGCCGCAGGAGGAAGAGAAGGAGGAGGAGAAGGAGGAGGGGGGCAGGCCCGCGCCCGCTCACCTGCAGGGGGAAGGTGGCCGCCTTGTTGCCCACGTAGCCGCGCACGACGTGGCTCTGGATGGAGAGCACCCGGCACTCGGGCTCCATGGCTGCGCCGCCCGCCCTCCCGCCCGCGCCGGGCCGAGCTGGCGGCGGCGGCGCCGGCAGCAGGAGCAGGAGCGGGGGGCGGAGCGCGGGCGGCGTGACGCGCTCGCCCTCCCTGCCCGCCTGTCACACACACGCGCGCTCCCCCCGCGGCAGGGAGGGAGGCAGGGAGGAGGCGGGGGCACCGCACGGCTCCCCCCGCGCTGGTCGCTGCCCGGCGCTGGGTGCGGGGCGGAGGGGGCGCCCGGCGCCCACCGCAGATCCGCCCCCCGCGCTCTCGCCGCGGGTCCCGCCGCCGCCTCCCCCGCGGCGTCACCGGTCACGCGCCCCAGCGGCCGCCCCGCCCGGCGGTGGCACCGGCGACACCGGCGACACCGGGCACCGAGCGCGGACACGGCCCCGGACCCTGCCCGGGCACGGCGGGGGCAGCGGCAGCGGGAGGAGTGAGCGCCTCGCCCCGGCGCTTGGGGAGTCACCGGGATGGGTCGGGTTGGAAAGGGACCACGGCGGGTCGTCTGTCCCAACCTCCCTGCTCGTGGAGGGCCATCCCAGAGCACTCGGCAGCGGGTTGTGTCTGGAATGTCTCCAGTGAGGGAGACTCTACACCCTCTCTGGGCAATCTGTTCCACTGCACAGGGAAGAAGTTCTTTGTGTTCGGGTGGAACTTCCTGGGCATCAGTTTCTGCCCGTTGCCTCCTGACCTATTGCTTGGAACAACCCAGCAGGGCCTGGTCTGTCCTCTGACCCTGACCCTTTGGTTATATATACACATTAATGAAGTCCCCTCTCAGTCATCTCTTCTCCAGGCTAAACAGGCCCAGCTCCTTCAGCCTTTATTCATAAGAAAGATGCCCAGTCATCCTCATAGCCCTCTGCTAGACCCTCTCCAGGAGCTCCGTGTCTCTGTTGTCCTGAGGAGCCCAGAACTGGACATGGTAAATGAGCTTTTTCCACCTGGAAGGAGGTTGCAGTGAGGTGGGGTCATGCCCACAGTGAGAGGACCAGAGGAAATGGCCTTAAGCTGATATAGTGGAGGTTCAGATTAGATAGAAAAAAATTTTTCACTGTCAGGGTGGTCAGACATTGGAATAGGCTGCCCAAGGAGGTGGTAGAGTCACCATTCATGGAGGTGTTTAAGCCCAAGCTGTGGGTGCCCTGACAGGGCACCACCCTCGCAGTCGAGTTCTGAAGTGAGTGCAATTGTGTGTTATTGACTCAAAAAAAAAAAACAACCCCTCCGGAGGGCTGCCAAAGAGTAAAAGAAGATGTATGTGTTGGCTGGCAAGTGCTACAATATATCAAGACTCTGCTGAGACAGGACTTGATAGTGTGTTTGGGAGTTTCACCTTCCTCTGGCCATTTGTCATTATTGACCGTCACAGATCACAATAAGAAATGACGCCTGATGCCTCTTGTTCTTCTTTGTGGATAGCTTTGAATCGACTCTTGAAATAGCGTGATTATTTCTCAGCAAGGTGAAAGAGTATTTTCCTCATCATAAGTAATCTGTTGGAAAATGAGGGAACATGCTGTCCTCTTTTCAGTCATCACTCCAGTTAAAAAACTTCGGGCTTATTCTACTCTGGCCTAACTACTAACAGTTGCTTCACCACCTATAAATTTATGCATTTCTTGAATTGCAGAAATCAGTGCATCTCCATGGTGCACAGGGCCAGAACAATGAGGGATCTGCATCTTGTTATACTCCTGCTCCTCTAGCTTGGAGGGCAATTGTTGGAATACAGATCTTGTCCTTTTTTCCTGTGTTTCCTCCCTTCCTCACTAGTAGGGCTTCATGCTCCACTTTGACCTTGTAAGCCTATGATACACACATACTGGCTTAGGTTCCTTTTGGGAATAACTCAAGATCCGTCTTGTGGGTTCCACAGTGTTGTCAGGTGAGACTGGGCCTCAGTTAAGGCAGTTGTACAGTGGCATTAATGGTTTGTCTCCATAGTGCCTATACCGATTGTATTTTCCCCAGACTGCTTGTACACCTGAGCAAGGAAACTGCAGCATGGGTATCAATTACAGGATTGTTTAGGTTGGAAAAGACCTTTAAGGTCATGAAGTCCAGCTATTAAACCAGCACTGCCAAATCCACCACTAAACTATGTCTGTAAGTGCTACATCTACATGTCTTTTAAATACTTCCAGGGGTGGTGACTCCAACCGCTTCCCTGGGCAGCCTGTTCCAGTGCTTGACAACCCTTTTGGTGAAGAAATTTTTCCTGATATCCAATCTAAACGTCCCTTGGCACAACTTGAGGCCATTTCCTGTTATCCTATCCCTGTTCTCCTGGGATAAAGTTCTCTTGCTTGCTCCCACACCACATGCTGTTTCTCCAAGCAACTGGAAAAATCCACTCTATGCAAGATTGCTGTTTTCTTCCTAATGTTCTGAAAGGTCCAACAAAGGCAAGTACTCCTAGAAAACTTTATGCTTTTCCCAGAGGAACATCTGAAGCCTCCCTTTGTACTCTAAGGTGTAAAAATTGAAGTATTTTTAATGAATTGAGGAGTAGAGCCTGCACACACAAAAGTAATCAAGGGGGTGACTTAGCAGTATCAAGTGCCAATGTTTTTCCAACTATGGGGGAATCTGTACATCCATATACTAAAAAAGTTGCCACAAGCAAAGCAAAGGCTAGAAAACAATTCACCTTCCCTTCCAGAAAGCAGCTCATCTGAAAGTGTGCACAGTTTCTGAGCAGTGTTTTTTTTAAAGGCTTTTCCCTATTTATTCTTTAAGAAATCAGTCCTCTTCCTCATAATAAAAGACTCTGTGTACCAGGAAAAAGTGAAGCTTCGATTCCATAGTGATCATGCATCCTGCTAGTCTATTGTTCTCGAAAAAATAACTCCCAGGTACTCCTCCAAATCTGGGGATTACTAAGACTGTTCGAGGAGCAAATAACCATTCAATGGGTGACAGAAAGCTTCATTGGGAAAAAAGAAAAAGGCAGGGCAGGGTAGATCAAGTGCAGGCAATAGAGAAACTGTCCTGGGCTTCCTACTACAGCTGCTGCAGTAGCACTGTAATGATACCTTTCGAGCTCCTGCCCTGTCAGTGGACTGTGCATGGAGTTTTATGGTGGGTTTTTTTTAAGGTAACCTGACCACTCAAATCAGATCTCCTTGGTCAGAGCGGACTATTTGCTGGAAATGGTGAATTTTGAGTAGAAGATCATCATCATTTGATCAAGAGAGAGGATAGTTAAAAAGACCACAGTTTGTCAACAACTGGCAATGTTTCTTCCACAAATGTTCCTGTGCCCTCCTTCTATAACTTGTTGAAATCCTGCTCACATCTCCCCCACTGCTCTGCTCAGCCTGTCAGTAACCACAGAGCAAATCCCCCCACGGCAGACCTGAGGCAATAATGCACATGACAGGCATCCAGCCTGCGGTTCTGGGAGATACACATCTTTACCTGCCTTCTTTGCTTCTGGGCAGACAGGACAAACATCCTTATGGGCCATTTCTTGCACAGGCTGCTGCCTTCCTGTGTCTGTGTTGTTACCCTTTGGAATTCCAGCTCGCCACACATGAAGAAATTGCGAGATTACGGCGAATAACGAGCTTAACATGGATCAACAATGTCACAATATTGCAATAAAGGTAGTCACCTTTTGGACTGCATAAACAACACTATAGTCTGCCAGACATATGAACTCGTCCTTGCAGCATACTGAGCACTGGTTGGGTCTCTGGTGAAGTACTGCCAAGTTTTTGGAATGGCATTTCATTCAAAATGAAAAAATGGCACAATAGGAGAGGCCATAAGAAGGATCTAAGGCTCAGGACACACAACATAGGAGGAAATGTTTTCTTTATATTAGTGAAAACTCAACTCTTTTAGCAGCCTACAAATACATATAACACAGGGCTATGAGGGAGCAGAAGGGAATAAACCAATGTCCATGATGGAGGGCTTGCTGCCATTTTGCAAAGGATTATGAAACACACAGGAGGAGATTGCTTGGGAAGATTGATGAGGTTTTATCTTCAGTTTGTTTTTTCATAGCAACTGGAAGAAATATTTTATAAATATTGATAGGTGTATTTAAATTTGTCTTGGAATGGGGAATGGACTTGAACTACCAAGGTCTCCTGAAGCCCAGATTTTCTATTTCAGCACAATAGAAAAGATATGGAGCTGCCAAGAATATGACACACTGAGCTTGATAAAAGATGCACAGAGAGAAGGTCTTAAATCAGATTTTGTATGTTGGATATGGATTCTCTAAATCATTGTAGACATTGACAGAAAATAAAAGGTGACAGTTATGTAAAAGTAGTATCAACACACTCTCCCCAAAAAGTCTTCAAGGCAGCAGAATCGGACCAGCAGAGAGTAATAAATAGAATCATAGAATTGCTTAGGCTGGAAAAGACCTTCAAGATCACTGAGCCCAGCTATTAACCCAGCACTACCAAGTCCACCACTAAACCATGTCCCTAAGCACCACATCATATTTCTTAGATACCTCCAGGGATGGTGACAGCCACAAGCAGCCTGTTCCAGTGCTCACCAACCTTTTCAGTGAAGAAATTTCTCCTATGTCCCATCTGAACCTCCCCTGTCACAAATTGAGGCCGTTTCCTCTTGTCCTGTTGCTCGTTACTTGGGAGAAGAGACTGACTCCCCACCTGGCCACAACCTCCTTTCAGGTAGTTGCAGAGGTCAGTGAGGTCTCCCCTGAGACTCTTTTTTTCCAGGCTAAACACCCCCAGCTCCCTCAGCTGCTCCTCACCAGACTTGTGCTCCAGCCCCTTCCCCAGCACCACTGAAGAGTATACCTGTTCAAGCCATGACCAGCCAGTTTTTCCAGAAGAATTCTGGGGGAAGTGGTGCCAAAGGCTTTGCTAACATCTAGACAACATCCAATTGTGCATTCCTCAATCAGAAGACCATCTGTATTTTAAGACACTGATTTTTGCTTGTCAGTTCAATGTTTGCTAAGACAGATTGTAAAGCACCAATTTATGATTGTGATAGTAACCATAAGCTGTTAGCAACATTTGATGTAGGAGGGGACCGTTGTCCTTGTTCTGTGCCAAATTTTCACTTGGCCTGTATTAAAATGATTAACTTTGTCAGGA